TTTTTTACCATGGTAGCAAAAGCAGTATAAATTTGTGATAATTCAAAGCGATTTTTCATAAAGTATTTCCAAGTAAAACGAGTATGATCAGTAATAAATAACATGAAGTACCTGGAACCCCCCATGGTGGGTGTAGGAGATGGATCCCAAACATCAAAATACACGAGATCAAAAGGAGTAATAGAATGAAAATGACTACTCGAAAAAGATAAAGCTGGTTGCTTTGCAGATTGACATGACACATAATGCAAGGATTCATTTGAAACTGATCCCAATAAACTACGAGAGATAAGTTGACGAAGTTTACCAACTGAGGTATGTCCGAGCCGTGAGTGCTACAAATGAAAAGGTGAAACATTAGCAGCAGCACAGGCTTGCAAATTTGTTGGTATGGAATTTGTAAAGACTCTAATTCAACGCACAAAGCAAGGTTTGAATGAAGTGATCATTTGGAAATTGTGCCTGTGGGCTCAACATAAGGTTTGCATCCAACCTAAAACCTATTGGCAATAGGTAGAGTAGCTTTCCTTGTATTTAACCCTCAGTTTCTTACTTTTATACTCGATGTGAAATTTTCCCACTCAACACACCCTCTCATGTGCAGGCTCATTATGAATATCAGGTCTTGTCACGTGGCTTAACACACTCCTTTACATGTAGACCCGGTATCAACTTCGAGTCTTGTTAGGTGGGCTAACAATGGGCTTCCAAGACAAAATCTGGGCTTTGATACCATGTTAGAAATAGAAAAGGAGAAGAAATATTGAATAAAGGTTTATTTTTTTCTTGAATAATACTGTATGTATAATGACTTATATATAAGTGTTTATAAAGAGAATATTCTAAAGTATAAAATATACAAAAAAAGATATTTTAAAATATAAAATATTTACAATAATTATGAATATAATCTAAATAATTGTATTTACATCTTAACGTTGAGTAAAAAAAAAAACCAAAAAGTGGTTTTGCAGTAGCAATCAAACAGCCAAAAGTCAAAGAGTGTAGGGATATGATATGTGAGGCAATGAAACAAAGTTAAATTTTACCCTCCACGATATTAGGGTCTAACTAGATATTTTTTTGTAACAAAGATAATTACCTATTATTATCATTAGAATTTTTTTAATAAGAATTAAGAAAAAAAATAAAAAGAGTTAGGGTCAAATACTATACACTCCAGCTGTATTTCCACTGTTGGAGCAGAGTGATACCATTCTGCCCATGTATCACTCCGCTCATCATGTGGAGAATAATAGGGCCTAACTAGATTGAGTGGGTGGTCTCTAGAGGCGATAAGGCAAGGTAGAGCGGGAGGTTTTAAAGCAGCATGGTGAGATTCGGTAATTGGCGCATGAAAGTAAAGAGACGAAAATGAGTTGAAACTAGAAATCAAATTCGAGGCGGAGATAGAGGTGCGTGAAGTGATAAAATTGAGAATATATGAGATGTGGGTGATGATTGCGCTTTAAGCATTTCAACTTATATGGATATAGGTTATGATTACCCTCCACGAAAGAGGTGGAGATGATTAGTGCCTAATTAAGGTTATGAGTTATATATTTTTTATGGAAAATGATGTGTACACACTCGGATTCAACACTCAAGTGTGCATACTCCGCATAAAAAAAAAATGGGAAACACTCGATCCATTTTTTTTTTTTATGCGGAGTGTGCATACCTTTTTTTTTAAGTGGAGGGTGCACACCTGAGTGTTGAATCCGGGTGTGCACCAATCATGGTCCTATTACTATAAAAAGGCAAAATCAGTGTTAAGCTCTTAAAGTTATCCTAAATTAACGCATAAACCCTTAAACTAAAAAAAGAACTCAGGGATGCTACTGCAACACAGCCCTTAAACTGTGTGAATTTTACATTTATTATCAGTTTTTGATTTTAAAATCTAACAACTAAGATGTTGTACAATTATCATCTCTACTGTTAATTTGTATAAACAATAACTAATTTTTAATGTGAGATTTAGACTTTTGTAAGTATATCTTAAGTCAAAATAATTTTCAGGTACTATCTGGCCGCTGGTCCTGATGTAAGCCAACTAGTTACAATGCTCTTGAAGCTTATAAATGCAAAGAAGACAATAGAAATTGGAGTTTTCACCGGATACTCCCTTCTCACCACAGCTCTTGCAATTCCAAATGATGGCAAGGTTCATGTTTGGTATCAAAATATTAAAATAAAGTAATTTTTTTAATAAATTCCTTAATTTTCAATATCTATAAATTAAGTGTCTAATATTAAACTTTTTCATTACAGATCACCGCAATAGATGTGAATCGAGAGACATATGAGATAGGTTTGCCCTTCATCCGTAAAGCAGGTGTTGAACACAAAATCAACTTCATTCAATCTCCTGCTCTCCCAATTCTTAATGAGCTTCTACAAGAAGTAAGTTCATTAAGTTATAAAAAGTAGTGTGCCGTTTAAATTATATTAGACTATATAACTTAAATTATTAAATAAAGAAGGTTTCACTCGTATTAAGAGTTGTCCCTATCATCTAATGATTTGTTTTTTTTTTTTTTTTTTTTTTTTTTTTTGTAATATGATACAATTCATACTACAAAAACAAGAGATTCATTGAGTTATATATGTAAATACCTACTAATTACATAGATATTCTTTAATTAAATTGGTTCTTCCATTAATCTGTATGTTAAATCTAACAGAGAATGTTTAAAATGTTTTTGTTTTGTTTTCCAAACATTTAAATGTGGTTGTGTTAATTTGAAATGGCAGGAAGAGAATGAAGGGAGTTTCAACTTTGCCTTTGTGGATGCAGACAAGATCAATTACTAGAACTACCATGAGAAACTGATGAAATTAGTGAGGCCTGGTGGAATGCTCATCTATGACAACACTCTCTGGGGAGGCACTGTTTGCTGGCCAGAGGAGGCTGTTGCTGTTCCTGAAGGCAAAAGAGAATCTAGGAAGAGTGTGATGGAGTTTAACAAATTGATTTCAGCCGACCATCGCATTTGTTGAAGAATTTTCAAAATATTTCTAGGATTTGGGTTCAAACCACAAAAAGTTGATTCGAAGCAATTGCACAGAATGCATTTGAGAAAGTGTAACTTTGGTTCGAATCATAATTATATGATTCAAATCATTTACGTAAAATCAAAATCCAAAAAGTTACAATTTTGGTTCGAATCACATTTTTCTGATTCGAACCATTTATGTCAGAATAAGAGATAAAATTCAGATAAGTTTCTAAAGAGAGTGGATAACTTTGGAAGGCAAGGAAACACGTCATTTGGAGTTCAAATCAAACCAAATGACTTTTGGAAAAGTTTCCAATGGATAAATTTCATGATAACTCAGTTATTATTCGTTAATAAACTGATAATAACTGAAAATGAACGTCTGTTCACAACAGACATATTGCCCCTTATAAATATGAAGTTATTTCTTCTTCTTCTTCATCTCTTGAACCCAAAAACAAACCCCTACTATTATCTAAATAAAACAGCCCCTTTTTGCACTTTGATTGTTGCAGAAATGCTTGTACAAAAACTATTGTTTTGTCGCTTTCCAAAGGATAGTTCAATGGTTGATCTTGCTAGTGCAAAAGCAAGATCAACAAGGCGCTTCATTGTATCCTACGGGCATTTCGGGTTACTCATTTTGCATACTAGATCTGGTGAGGGCGAAATTAGCCTAAAGGAAAGTGGCATTTGCAACACGCCTTGAAGCCATTTACAGATTTTCTACCATATTTCTTCAACAACATTGAACTTGTTCTTGCTTCAATCGGAGACGGGATGAAGATTTGCAGGCGCATTTTCTGATACTCTTCTCAATTGCTCATTTGTGTTAATTGGAGTTTGGTATCTCTACTTTACATCAATATTAGGTGTGCGATTATCGTAACGTTGTTAGATTCAACAAGTTGTCATCAGTTGAATACTTCTGTTTCATTAACATTTTGTACTGTGATCCATATATTATGTCTTTCTATTTCACTTGTTCTGTTCAGTTGGACCTAATTATTAGGATGTGTGGTTTTAATTTAATCAGGATTTCCTTTGTTGTGAAAAATAAATGTGGGCCTCTTCAATTTAGCAATGGTATTCAATGTTTTCTTTCAATTTTACCTCTTTTATTGAGTGCTTTTAATAATTTTTTATTACACAACTAAAGCCGGCCAGATTTAGGGTCGAATTTCTTTCTCTTGTACGAATTTTTGCCTTAGGAACATCTCTCTCTAGAAGATTTTCCTTTCTTTTTTTCTTTTTTTATTTATTTATTATCTTCCTTATCTCTTTATTGATTACATTCATAAAAAAAATCCAAAAATTATCTCTTTGTTGATTACATCCCTAAAAAAATCCCAAAAAAATCCAAAAAAAAAAACCATAAAACTTTTTTTCCGGATTGGTAAAGGAATTGCAGGTTGGCTTTGAATTGCCGTGAGCAAGGATTTGGTGGTTGGTAACTTTCTAGATGGTCGCTGGTTTTGGAGCAGGTTGATGGCTTTGGATTTTGATGTGCAAAGATTTGGATTCTTGATGCGCAAGTATTTGGAGGTGGATATCATGGACTTTAGTTTAATGAAAATCATGCCCTCTCCCCAACACTAAGTGGCCCAAGTGGCCATTTAGGATAGAAAAATTTTAAGTTTTACATTAAGGCACTATTAATTCTCATTTTTTTAAAATTCTTAAAGTTTAAAATAAATATTTAAATAAAAATTAATAAAGGAAAGGACCAGAAGAAACAAAAGAAAAAGTATTTTTAAATCATAAATTAGGAAATTATTTTTAAAAAAGATTTTTTTAATAATTTTTACTAAAGAAGGTGAAGAAAATAAGTAATGAAGGATAAACTTGTCAAACACACTAAAATTGTATGGTATTCACAAATAAATGTTGTAATAAATAATTACATGTTAACTTTTTTTTTTGTATCGTTTGTATATATAATTTATATATATAATATTATAAGTTAAATATAATAAAAAAAACTAATTATTATATAAGTATATATAAAAAAGGACTACTCATTAAATTAAATGGAAATTAAATAAAAAATTTTCCCTCAAAATCATTTTGCTCGTGGGAATAGGCCCACCTTAAACTTTCGAGAGCAAAAATCCCTACATTTTCTGGAACGCCCAAATCTTGATTTCAGGAACCCCCATCCCATCTCTTTAGCTCAGGTACTATTTCTTAAACCCCTACTTTTTCTCTTGTACTATTGCATTGATCGATCCATTTTGTATAAGAAAATTTTCAGAACTGAATCAAAATTAGCCCATTTATCTTCACAATCTATCATTTTGATGCATGGGTTTTTATTTCCCTCTTTCCTCCTAATTCCTTCTTTTTTATCTAATTCTCCTTTCTTCTATTGGTTAAATTGGGCATATTTTGGCATATGAATAATTTCTATGTTCCAAGAACTACGCTTTCCCCTGATATTTGATTAATTTGCCAATATGAGTCCTATCACCTGTGCTTGTTTTGACCTAATGCTAATGAACAGTATCAAAAAATTTCCCCCTTCTTAGTGAGAAAAAACGCGATGAGTATGCTTTGCTGTTGCAGATGTTTGACTTAAGGTTAAGGTTTTGAAATTAGTTGCTGATAAAAAAAAAAAAGTTTTGAAATTAGTTGGAACCAACTAATATTTCCCATTTTACAATGACCAGAAAACCTCTGGATTTCTATCTTTCAGTTTTATTTAGTGTTGTGGATGAGAATTGACACTAGCAAAACTTCATCATTGGATTTCTCTCTCTTGTCCTCCCTCCAGGATTTCTTATTGTAGAATTGCATAATTTGATTTGAAACCTTAAGTGGGAAAATCCCACATTGAATATAAAAAGTAAGAAACTTGTGGATTAAATACAAAAAAGGTTAGTCCACCAGATGCAAGTCTTGTGTTAAACCCACATGCACATTTTTCACTTGGTATCAGAGCCCATATTCTATCTGAAAGTTTATTGTTAGCCCACTTGATAGAACCCAAAGTTAATATCGGGCATATAAAGGGGCATCTTAAGATTCTGTCTATCACAATTAAATGTCAAAATTTTTTGGATTTCCTTTTTTCAACTTTGTAAATGAAGTTCTGCGGTTCAGTGCAAGAAACATTGGGTTTATCTTTTTATTTGCTTTGTAGAATTGCTTAATTTGTGTGAAATTACTCATTAAATTTGTGTAGAAGGCAATTTGAGAGAAATGGATGGTGAAAAGAAAAATGTACCAAGTATTTCCAAGGGGTTGCTACAGAGTGAAGAACTGTATCAAGTACCATCCTATCTCCTATTGTTGTTTTCTTAATATCTTTTTGTTGATATATAGATTACACAATTGGGAGTAAATATTTCCCTTTTCTTTACCCTTCCATCCCTTCTGAATGTAGGATTTGATTTCAAGTTCCTGATACAACTTTTAAAGGACTTTCCTAGCTTTTGTTAAAATTCTTTCTGATGTCTTACTCGATCTATGCAGTATATACTGGAGACAAGTGTGTATCCCCGCGAACCTGAGCCTTTGAAAGAGCTTAGAGATGTCACTGCTAGGCATCCAAGGTAATGTAGATCCATCTTAAGGTTTGAACCCTATAACTAGCAATGCGCAAGTCTCAAACAGTCAAAACTTCCACTACTGTTAGGAGCTGTCACTTGGGGAACCACATAACCAAAGTCATTAAGTTTTCACTAAACAATGTCAAAATATTGAAAAAGGCAGACCAACTCATCCTATTCTAAAATCTTTTAAGCTAATAAATTAATATCTAACTATTAACTAGCTAACAGCTTATACTATGTCATACTCTAATAAAAGTTGAACATTCTGTGGAACTATCTAGAATCTGTTTATATCAACTTGTGTTTTAAGATTCATTATTTTCAGAGCTGGAATGGGTACTGCTCCTGATGCAGGTCAATTAATGGCCTTGCTCTTGAACCTAGTTGATGCCAAAAGAACAATTGAGATTGGAGTCTTCACAGGTTACTCTCTTCT